GTCCAGCTGAACCACGGCCGTCTTGGTGCCCGGCTGCCCCACGTCCCACACCTTGACACAGCCCTTGCCCCCGGTGTAGACGTGTCGTGTGGAGTTGCTGATGGTGACGGCACAGACCACCTCGCCGTGGCTCAGGGTGTGCAGCTGCCGCGCATGCCGGGGGATGCCGGAGCCGATGAGGGCGTCGGGGGGGAAAGGCACCGGCTGCATCTGCCCGTCGGCGCTGACGTGGAAGGAGTAGGCACTGGAAGGGAGCAGAGCAGTGAGAACCAGAGCAGAATCCTGCGTGGACGGCAGAATCGCGTGGGTCCCAGCGGGTCTGACACAGGCAGCACGGTTTGGAGTCAGAGCCACGAGCAGAACACTCCCAATGATGCCAGCTGGGCACAAAACAACCACAGCCTGGGTTTCTCCCCCTGCTGTGCTCCCCATTCCTGCTGCCTCCAGCTTGTCCACACAGCCCAGTTTCAGCCCCACGAGCCACCCCTCCCCTGCCCCAGCCTGGCCCCACTTACGGCTTCCCCGAGGTCCCCACTTGCATGCCGGTCACCAGCCCTGGGACGCGCATGTGGGGGTGCGGGTCGTAGCCCACCTGGAGGGGACAGCGGGTGAGAGAGGCTCACACTCCGTGGCCCCAGGGTCCCACAGGGACGAGGTCACTCACCAGGGGCGAGCGCCCGTAGCCACCGGCTCCCACGGCGGCCGCAGCCCCGTTGAGCTGCGGGGACATGAGGTGGAGGCCGGCGTAGGCACCAGTCCCGGCCACGTCCCCGTTGACCGCAGGGTGGGCCAAGCCGAAGGCGGCCGAGTAGGGGCTCTGCACTCCCAGAGGATTCCTCAGGCCCAGGGCTGGTGGGGGAGAGGCAGAGTGAAGGGATGGGGCCCTGGAGACAGAGCTTGGAGACCCACCCAGGCCCCAGCGGGGCCAAGCTCACCCAGGGGGTCCACGGGGACCTTGGCAGCGGTGGGGCGGAACTGCTGGGCACTGCTGGAGCCTGGCAGGGTGTCACCCTGGGATGTGGGGGTGCTGGACTTCAGGCTGGGCGTCCCTGCCTTCTCCACCTGCCAGGAACAGAACGGGGAGCTGGCAACTGCACCACAGCCCTGCCAGAGGGTCCCTGTTAGCTCCCCCTCAATGACAGCCCAGCCCAGACAGTGCTAAAGGGTCTGTGGGATGGGATTTGAGCTGAGATCTAAAGGAGAGCCCCTCCCTGTCCCTCCAGCAGTTTGCCCCGTGGGTTTGGAGGCAGGGGACTCATGTCTGGCTGTTCTGTCAGCCAAGCCCAGGCCACAAGGACACAAGCACAGGCCCCGAGCGAGTCACACGTACCGTGGGCGCATCCTTGCTCCGAGATGGGGACGTGCTGCTGGAGGAGGCCATGGAGGTCGGACTGAGGGGCACGGCCTCCTTCCTGCCCAGCGGGACCTTCTCCACCCCGTTCTCTCGGGATGAGTAGGAGTGGACGCTGTGCGGGGAAGAGGGGTCCTGGGGAGGGAAGGGAAATCAGCAGGGAGAGCAGGCAGGAGAGCAGGGATGTCCCAGGTTATGGGGAGCTGGTGGCTCAAGTAAGGGCCAGGCTGCCAGCCTTGATCCTGGGGCTCATTGCTGCTGCTGGAGAGGCTCAGGGAGCACAACTGCCACTGGCACCTCCCTGTGATGCCCACCTCTGCCTGGAGCAGCCTGTTCACCCCACCCTCAGGGATGGACAGCACACACCGACCCCAGACCCCTCCCAGTGTCCCCGCACACTGACCTCATCCACCACCAAGTTGTCTTCACTTTTGTCTGCATCGCTGCCCTGAAACGTGGAGCACGGTTGGAGCCAGAGGGGCTGCAGCCGCCCCCACTCCTGTCTGGAGCTGTGCCAGAGGCACAGGCAGCTCCATTCATCGCCCCACAGGAGAGGATGGGGTCACCCCAAGCACCCCAGCCCTGAGCTCACATAGTCTGTAACAAAGTCCTTCTCCTCCACCTTCCTCTTCTTGCTGCTGCTCAGGTACTCGGCGATGGCTCGTGCGCGCTCCCCGTTTGACAGTGCCAGGGAGCTCTGGGATGAAGGGAAGCGGTGTCAGCGGCTGGGGATGCTCTGCCCAGCTCCTGGGACAGGCAGCACCAAGGCAGGGCTGACTGCAGGAGCATGGAGGGCCCCAGCCCAGCGTCCTGACCGCAGCTGGTGCCACCACAGAATGGTGGAAGAGAAGGAAAAGGCACTTACGGGGCCAGGGTCTCGGTCTGTCGCTGTGGCAACGCAGAGGAGCGGCAGGAGAAGGAGGAGGGAAAGGGGGACACGCTGTGGGGCTGTGTGACCGCCAAGAGCCCCCCAGCAAAGTCACCCACGGGTGCTGGGGCATTCAGAGCAGGGCCAGACCAGTACAACAGCAGCAGGGTGGTCCTGATCCCCACCAGGAATGACCCCCCCCACCAGCCCACCTCACCACCCTCCCACGAGGGTGCTGGTCAGTGGAGGAGGTTCCCCACCCAAAGCCCTTGCAGCTGCAAGCCCCCTGCCCCTCCAGCCCAGATGGCAGCCCTGAGGCATGGACAAGTGGCCCCCACCCCAGGGAAGTGTCCAGGTAAGAAGGGCATGGGGAGCAGAGGGAGCCCCAGGGCTCAGCACCACCTGCTCCGAGATCCAGGCGCTCCCCACTCACCCCTGGGCTCTGTGTCATGGACTCCTCGGTCCTCCTTGGCGAGGAGCTGGGCCTGGGCCCCCAGAGCCCCCGAGAGCGCCAGCAGCCCTGAGGCACTGCTGATGCCAGCGAGGCTAGTGGGCTGCATTCCAGAGGGGTGGGGGGTCAGCGGGATGGGGGGAGCGTGGTGCGAGAGGTGCTGGGTCTGGAGCTGGTGCTGGAGAGGAGAGGAGAGAGCAGAGTCGAAGGGTTGTGCCAGGACAGCTGCTGGGCAAGTGAGGGGCAAGAGGCAGCCCTGGGTCAGTCAGCAACGGGGCCTGGGTGTGGAGGGGCAGGGCATGCATCCAGGGTGCCCCCAGTAATGTTCTGGGGGCCACCACGTCCCTCCCACCGACCCCTGCCACCCTAGGCTGGATGGGAGACCTGCTGCAGTCTCCAGGCAATAACTGAGTGGGGATGGTGGTGACCCCCCTCCACCCCAGCCACAGGACACCAGAACACAGTGACACGTGCCAGCCACCGCCCCCAGCTGCATCTCCTGCACCCCGAGTGCTGCTGGCTGCCCCCAAACCAGCCTGGTTTGCTCCTCTCCTCCCCTCGATTCAGCCACGAGTGGGAGATGGCACAAGGGGCTGGGGCTGCAGCCAGGGGCAGGAGGGGGCTCAGCCCAGGGATGGCAGGAGCCCGGGAGGTGCCATCCTGGCAGAGCCCCTCAGCCCTGGCTCTGGAGTGGCAGGAAGCAGCGGGCAGAGGGTTGACGTACCCCGATGGCCGCGTTCAGGTCGGTCATAGTCACCTGCTTCGCTCGCTCCACAGCCTGGACCACCTGCTGCTGGTGCTGTGGGGAGAGAAGAGTGGGGCTGGGGCGGGCTCGCTTCTTCCCCTGGGCCCCAAAGGAGCTCTGCACAGCTGGCTGGGGCCCGAGGGCTCACCCACCTCCTGAGACAGGAATGGGATGAGCTGGGCACAGATCACATTGAGCCGCTTGGCGATCTCCGTCTGGCAGGGGAAGAGAGACAGAGCCCGTCAGGGCAGGGGGCAGAGCCCACCCCACGCTGAGGGGTCCCGATGCTGCCAGGAGAGCCCCCTCACCGTGGGTGCTCAGCAGCCTCAGGTACTGACACTCAGCCCAAAGGGCTGCTGCTCAGCACTACGGAGCACAAACACCCTGTGGGCACAATTCCTGTCCCTAACAACACCCCTTTCAAAACCCAGCATCCTCCATCCCCACCCTGAGAGCCCTGGGATGCATTCCAGCTCCTGAATGAAGCCCCCCAGCCCATGCCACCCCCAAGCAAGCCCCCAGCCCCTGCAGGCTCCCCCTGCCCTCCTGCCAGCTCCACGCCCACCACTTGCCGCCCTCCTAGCCCACAGGAAGCCCTGGAGAGGTGCTCTCCTTCCAGCTGCTGTTTTTCTGCAACACTTGAGTGCCACTGGCAATCAAGAGCGCAGAGCGTGGGGAGGGAGAGCAGCGTCGTGCTGTGCCATGCCACGTTCCCATGGCACCCCTGCCACCTTCCAGGACCCCCTGTTCCCATGGCACCCCCTGCCACCTTCCAGGGTCCCCCATTCCCATGGCACCCCTGCCACCTTCCAGGGTCCCCACCGGCCCCACCCTGCGCAGGTCGGGCGAGAGGAGAGCACAAACATTCAGCCATCCCCGGCCACACAGACAAGAAGCAAGAAGCTTCTTCCCCTGGCAAGAAGCCCCAGGGGCAGTGGGGACAGCTCCTGCCCCCGCTGATGGCCGAGAGAGCAGACACTGCTCGAGGCAGCAGTGGAGGCGCCCATGCAGAGCTGGGGACTCATCCCCAGCACCAGAGAGGGGACAGAGATCAGCAGCTCTCCCTAAACCCATGTGGGGGAGGGATCCCTCTGCTCTTGGATGGGCAGGGGATGTCCTGGGCACAGGAGTCCAGGTAAAATGCTGTCCCAAACCCTGAGGAGCTCCCTGTCCACCCTGGTGGGGAGCCAGCACAGGGCTGAGAGGAAGGGGTTGAACCCAGACCCCCCTTATCAACCCTCAGAGGAGACCAAAGGCTGAAGGGCCCCTGGGACAGAGCTGAACCCTGGATGTCCCTGCCAGGACCTTGGGCACATCTCCCACGCCCAGCTGGTGCAGGTGCTGAAGTGCCAGGGTGAGGGGCCACTGCACTGCCCGGCTGCTGTGGGGACACTGACCCAGGGACACTCCATGCTGCCCTCCAGAGCAGCTGCCGACCTGCTCCTGCCAGCCCCAGAGCACAGAAACAATCTGGCACCTGCCCTCACTTCCCCTTCTGAGGCAGGAAAAAAAGAGAAAGAGAAGAAAGGAAGAGGGGGGAGCAAGGAGATTTGGCAGCCAGCAGTTCTGGGAAGGATTTAGCTGTCTCCCGGGGCCAGCAGTGATGGATTCTCTTCCCTAATGCACTGATGGGCAGCAGCTCCTTGGGGAGAGCTGCCTCCAATTCACTCGCACTCGTTAATGTGCAATTTACTGGCACTTTAACGCTCTCAGCATGAAAAATGATCACGCTGTTTGCAGCCCCCCCAGCCACCAGCACCGTCGCCTCCCCTCTGGCTCGCTGTGAGCAAGTCCAAGGCCAGGCAGATTCGGGGAGGTGGTTTTATAGAAAGCTGCAGGCCCCTTCCATGCCAAAAACAAAGCAACAATAAAAAAATTAACGTCTCCTGCTCGTTCCTGTCTTGATCCTTTCCTGCCAAGCCTGAGGCTGCCTGGAGAGCTGCAGCACCACAGCCAGCCCTCAGCCCCATTTCTCTCCAAACAAACCCAGAGCAAAACCCCTCACCTTGGCCCTCGCTGGTGCCAGCCAGGCAGGGGGACACGGGACACAGCAAGGACAGAGGCCACACCACACCTGGCTGGCACTACCCGGCCTCCACCCATAACCATGGGGTGATCACTGCCTTGGGAGCTCTGGGGCAGCCAGGAGGGCTCAGGACCTGCCTGTGCCCTGAGCAGCGCAGGATTCGGGGGAAAAGGAGGAGAAACAGCGACCCAAATCCTCCCAGGGCAGCGATAACCCGCGGCTCCTGCTCTGGCAGTTCCCGTTCCTCGCTCCTCACACAATGGCCGCTGGCTGTCAGAGCAGACTTACGGGCCCTTGTTAAAAGTGCCGACAGCTCGCTGGCCGGCGGCCAGCAGCACCTGGGGCTGGCAGAAAACACGAGCCTGAGAGGGCTGGGAGAGAACCAGCAGCCAGAAGAGAGGAGCTCACAGCCTTCCAGCGAAAGGCTCCGCGCCGGGCAGACCCTTGGCATCGTCCCTCGCAAGGGCAGCTTCACACCTCGGCCTCAGCAGGGATGGCAGCAAGGAGGGCAGCCCAGAGCGGCAGAACACCCTCCCAGCGGGCACAGAGCTGGCAGGAGTGGCTGAGAACCTGCCCTGTGCTGGGGCCAGGGGCCAGAAGGGCCACAGTGCCCACCCGAGCAGGCTCCCACGCAACAGTTGGCGTCGGCGGGCGCGGGGCGGGCGGGAA